GGCAGAGTTGGGAAAAGATGTGCTGTAGCACGCCATGCTGTAGTACTCCCACCATACGGATATAATAGGCACACAATCTCAAGAGCCTAGGTACGAGCAAAGGTAGAAAAATAATTAGGATTTGGAAATGTAGAACTATAATATAGTGTATAGTAAAGTATATACTATTCCCAGTAGTAATATTATTAATGGTATTGGTTTTATTAGTGTTACTTATTAATTTTATTATTAATGTTCTTATTATTATTAGCATGACAAATAAAGTGGGTGACAAAGGTACAAAAAGATTTACCTCTATTTTTAATATAATTTATTTAATTGCAAGTTTACAAAATTTAACTTCTAAAAATGATGTGTTTGACCACCAGCTAGCAAAATCCTGGACATTTAACAATTAGTTCCTGCAAGTTGGTGTGATGTGGCTCCAGCACACTATTGCCTCTGGGGAAGAAATGGAAAACATCGTGGTGCTCTGGAAAAGGTGTTGGGGTGAGAGATGGCTGACCCAGAGAGTGAACAGCAGTTAAAGGCAAAAATTCAGGAGCCAGGCTACCCGCTTCCAATGCCCAGCTTTTCTCGTGGGCTTGGACAAGCTGCTTAACCTCTCTGAATTTCAGTTTCCTTTATAGTACAAAGGAGATTGTACGAGAACTTAACTTACGTGGATATCGGGGCTTTAAGTAAGATAATGTTTGCACAGTGACTGTGCCTAGTAAGCAAACAATAAGACTATTATCACTAAATTTCAGCTAGGCCAATAAGTGCTGTGTAATCATGGGCAATTTTTTTCCCTCACCATTTCTTCATATGTAAAATAAGGAGTTAAATACAAAAAGATTTATAAGGTTCCTCCTAGTTCTCAAAGACACAATGATTAAGAACTAGAGCTCTTGAGTCAGACGGCCTAAATTCAGCTCCTGACCCTCTTTATACAAGCTGTGTGGCTTGGGGCAAGTTAATTCATCTCTCTTATCCTCCACTTCTTCATGTGGAAGTCAGGAATTAACACAGGAATTTGTTGAACAGAATTTTTTGAGGGTAAAATGAGGAACATCCAAATAAGTTCTTAGCCCACTTTTTGGCATGTAGTAGGTACTCAATAAAGAGAAGTTATTTTATTAACAATATTAATATTGTTATCATATATAATGATATTAATAATAGTACTATTTTAGTATATCATATAGTGCTAAGTAGTATATAGTATTTGTGTACTATATAATATATTGCATATATTGCACATACATAGTAATGGTATTGATATTTCTATTATTTATTAATATTATTTAATACTATTAACATGAATAATATTAGTATTAGTAATAAAATGGAGCACAAAGGTACAAACATTTATTTTTTTGTATATGGTATGCCTTCCCAAGCCAAATCTCCATCCTAAAAGCTTGTCCTGTGACATCAAAATTAATATTAATAATAAAATAAATAACATTAATAATAAAATAGGTAATATTATTAGGCATTTTCTAAATGTCAACCATTGTAGTCAGTGCTTCACGTATAATTTAATCACCCTCTTTGAGTCTCAGTTTTATTATTTATAAAATGACTTTAATGCATATCACGGAGAGTTGTTAAGAAGAGTATAAATATTATTATTGTAATACATTGAACTCAATGTCTGAAACACAGTAGGCATGCCATAAAAGGTAGCTAGAATAATGATTATAATAATAATAGAATCTATTTTATAGGTTGCGAGAATATATTTATGCATTTTGAAAAATGCTTACCATCTTGCTTAATGCATTATATATGTTAATTAATGGTAGCTATTATAGTTATATAATAAAAATAAATGACGGGCATTTGCCACAAGTATTTCCTATTTACTGTCAATTTACCATTGAGAATAGTTTGGCAAGTCAAGATGCAGTTCAGAGAATTCAGAATACAGAGCTCAGAAGAGCTGTTAGAAAGAGTGGCTGTTGTGTTTTAATCTCTTGCTCCTGGGGTGGAGGAGGCGCAATGTGAGAATCTTGAGGGGGAGGAGCCAGCAGGTTCTTGCAGGAAAAGGGTTAGATGTTGCCAACACTGAGTTACGGGGTGTTACTCTTGTAAGGAAGAGGTGTTAGACCAGCATTGGCATGAGGTGGCAATGTTCATCGTTATTCTTTCCCGTCTAGTAGCAGTATTGAATTAGGACAACTGAGTCTTTGGAGGAACCTGTTGAAAGCTGTGGGTTTTTTGTTGTTGTCACTTGGTTATTTGCTGATGCCGTGTCTTTTGCTATTTTAACACTTTTTGCTTCTTCTGTGGTACTTCAATGGGTACTGTTAACTGTAGCTGTGTCCAAAACATTATCAAATTATTCATAATCCCAGTTTTTGTGTCTTTGTGTTTATCATTGCACTTACTATGAATCATTTTAATAATTCCTTAAAATATCATCCCCAAGTCAGTCCATATGGCCTTGTGATCTCATACTTAGTAATAAACATGGGGACATATGGTTATAAAATGAAGTCTTTCAGGATTCTCCAGTCCCTCAGCCTATTGCCCCTCAAAGGAACAGAGTGAGCTGATCCAAAAGGCCAGATAGGAAATGAGAGTGATCTCATCCTCTCTCTTGGCATTAGCTGCCACCTCCTTGGGGAATAATTACTTAATAAACTCAGGCTTCCCCCTTCAATGGCTCTATAAAACACAGGGTTGGCTTTTTAGAATGCATTTGGAATTAATGCTGCTCATACCTGAGAACAGAGAAGCCTAAATAGATCTGGTTCTATTGAGTGATGTTAAGAAATCTGATCCTTGGTAAAGCACTTCTCTGGAACATCTGAGCCTGAGTTCAAACCCAGGGCGGAGTTCTCAACCAAATCAGACATTGTGATTATGTTCATAGAAATATAAACCCTAGGGGCAGTCCCAGAAAGATAAATAAAATTACCATATAAGGGACACACCCATGTGCATCTGCAAGCTGGTGGATGCTGAGAAATACGAATGTGTGTGTGTGTGTAACACACACATAAAATTTCAACAATCCTGGTAACCAAAAGTGCCGATTAGAATAACGAAGACATTCCTCTTTGCTCATGAGATTTGAAAAGGAAAACAAACAATGCCCGATGCCCTTAAAATTGTCGTGAGAGGGATGGTTCTGAAATATTGCATGTAAGAAAGTAAACTTTTACCATCTTTTTAACAGTTATTTAGAAATAAGAATCAAACTCCTCAAAATCTATATAATATATATTCCTTGATACGGTAATTTCTCATCTGTGACTCTGGACTTGGGAAATGTACAGAAACTCATGACTGCAAAACTTGTTATAGTAAAAAAATTGAAAACTACCTAAAAATCCAACATTAGTTAGCAATAAACATAATGTTTTTGAAGACATTTTTATGATAGGCAAATTACTCAGAGTGAAATGAGGGTGAAAATTATATAGAGAGCTTCATGACTTTAGCTTTATTAAAACATGTGAAGAAAATAATGCAAGAATGCAGTCATTTCCAGTGAGTGGGATTATAAGTCATTTTTATTCGAGTATTTCTTTAATGTTCTCTGTAGAGTATATAAACATAAGAATGAAAGTAATTTTTAAAAGATACTTAATGCTTATCTGGAAAAGCATCCTGAAATATGTGTGGAGAGACACAATAGAGAAAACTAAGGACACAAAAGGGATATAAAATATTGGAGTAAATTGGGTTGACTTTTCCAGAATTGAAATAACCCTTTTCTCTTATTAATTGCAAAATTGCTTTTAAAAAATATTTTCAGTTTCAAATACCCAGAGAGCTCAGTTCGAGATACATTGAGTCTAAGGGAAAAAAGTTTAAATAAGAAGAAAAAATGTCATTTTTAAGGATGGTGGTTTCAAATGGGTTTGGCACAATTGAAAATGTGTCTTTGAAATGTGTTTAGTATTTCCAGACAAGGAAGAACTGTCGCCTCACATTGTTTGCGAATCACGCTGCACATCTGGTCCTTCTGCCCTGGGACAAGGACTGCAGCAGGAAAAAGAACACATTCAAAGAGAAAGGACGTTGCTCTGCAATCAAACCTCAGATTCTTTTTTTGCGTGCTTACCACGTTTGAAAAAAAAATTGTAAATCATGTTTCTCCACTCATGGGAACTTAGCATTGCAGCCTGACATCATATTATTCTGCACTTTTTGCTCAACCATCCCTCCATGGAGGTCGTGTGAGGGTTTGGGTGGTATCGTCAACATGGGAAAGTGAACTCTCGAAATTAGCCAGCATCATCTCAGTTTCTTTGAAGTTTCTCCTGACTTATTTGAATGATAAAATCTAGAAATTGAGTACCTTCCTTACAGTCGAAATGCCGTAATCTAGACCAACTAAACTTTAAAAATAAAGAAATAAATAAAAGGTTCAGAGCAGCAGTTTCACATCCACAAGAATTACTGGATTAGTTAAGGTTTAGTTTTTTTTCATTGTCATGATGTTTTTATGTAGCGATAGTCATTTTTTTCTTATGGCATAGACAACATTTAAAATGGTTTTCTGCCTGGGCTGGAAATGTTCAGTACCATTCAGGGAATGGTATCTGTTGGCACAGAGACAGGGCAAGTGGGTTGGAATGGAGGCCATGAAGGATGGGTTTATTTTCTTTTTCTTAACAATTCCACCTTTCTCGCCCACCCCCTCCTGTTGGGTGTCTTTTATACATACAGTGTATCTTTGCCCAACTTTATATCTAGTCATTTCAGAAACGATTGTCTTCTTTTCTTGAGACTTTCTACATGAAAGAACATAGCTTATCTTTCTAAAAAATAAACAATATGACTTTTCTAATTGTCATTTTTCTTTCTCTTCCTTCCTTTCTCCCTTCCTTTCTTTTTTCAATCACATATTAATGAACTCCTGTTATATACCTGGGAGAGAGCTAGATGCTAGGAATATAAGAGTGAACAAGACAAGGTCCTAAACCTTAAAGAATTTACAACGAATTAGAGGTCACAGAAAAGTAAAGAAACATTTACCAAAGAATGGGGTCATTGCCTACCTTTAGTAGAGGTAAGTACAGTGGATCTGGAAGCATCCAACGTAGACACTTAACTCAGACTTGGGGGTGGAGAGAAGTGGTCCTATCTGTGGTCAATTTAAATGCTGAGTTGATGAGACTTATGTTTGGAGAAAAAAGAGGAAAGAGGAATTAAGGATGCCTCCTAATATTCAGACAAGACAGAAAGAGAGAGACACAGAGAGAGGAAAATGACATGACCATGTTGTAATTTTAGTTCCGTATAAAGAATGAATTAGAGAAAAGATAAGACTGAATACAGAATGTCCAGTTGGAGTTCTTTTGTCTCAAAATTCTTGATTTGAACAAGAGATGATTGTGGCCTAAACAATAGAGGTAGTCTGAATCAGGAACAGATTTAAAAAGTCTTTAAAGGACAGAATCATGAGGACTTGGTAAATGATTGTAGGTGTTAGAGAAAGGAGACCAAGGAAGCAATGAAGATTGGGAGGGATGGTTTAAGCAACTGAGAGACTGATGGATGGCATTCACTGAAATTCAGAGCACAAATGAAGATGCAGTTTGTGGGGGGTAAGAGCGTGAGTTCATTTTGGGAAATATTGAGTATTCCTCAAATATTTATCAGATATTTATCAGATATCCAAATGGAGATATCTAATATGAAATTGAGTATAAAGGTCTGATGCTCAGGCGAGATATCTGGACTATAAACATATGTTTAGGGAGAGAAACATGATTGAAGTGAAAGGAATGTTTGAAATCACTCAAGGGAAATATGTAAATTGATAAGAGGGCCTATGACAGAATGCTGAGAAACAGCAAGGAAAAAGTTCATTTCAAGAAGGTAGTCATTGGTATCCAAGAGGCTGTTGATGACTTTGTCAAAATCAGTTTCAGTGGTACAGTGGAATTAGAACCCAGATGGCAGGATCTTGAGAACCAAGGAGTCAAGAAAGCTTTGGAGTGTCCATGAGTTGATTCGCATGCATTTTTCAGACAGATTTAATTATAAAACTGAATTCTCTAGGTTGTTTTGGAAGAGGTTAGCAAATGCCATTTGTACTTTAAGGTAGGAATATCATTCTCTTCTTTCCAATTACAGTTTGTTAAAATTAGGTCATTTTAATTCTTTGGATATTTCTGATGCTACAACTTGGTGAGAGGCATAGACTAATTAATCAAAAATTTTACCATGCTTCTCAGTGTGGGCATTCACTACATTTCAAATTGTATAAAAATCATTTGTTTCTGGGCCTCTGAATAGGAGAAAAAGGAAAATAAATGCTTATTTCTTGCTATTGGGCATGAGATAAATGGTGTTCTCTAACTAAAATAAAATATTTAATTCTGAAGCTCAATGAACAATGTGGAGTTTAACAGAATAAATATATTCAGTCACTGGAGATTGACACAGATTAGTAAACAAAACAAAACATACAAATAGATTCCCACCCATAAATCTTCACAGTGCTTCTCAAAGAAGAAAAAACACTCAGTGGTTATCTGTTCTTCTTCTTCAAATAATAAATATTAATACAATATGGCTGAAGTAAATTACAGTATTTAGCTTTCCAAAGATGGCGTGGGAATACGTAGTTAAATGGAGAGCACAGCCAGCTGTTTCCTCAAGATAGAAATATCTCCAAAACAATTTTAACATGCTTCTACTTTTACACAGGAAGATTTTGGAGGCAAGCTCACTTTATGATTACTTTTGAAATTTCATGGATATTGAAATCGTTCCAAAATTGACTGTAAGATTTCAAAGAGGTATATTTATATTTCTTTTTGAATTTAGAGTCTGCCATTCTTCAAAATATTGGTTGATGATCCAGAAAAGAAAGAAAAGTCCCCTTTTCTTTGCTTATGGGATGGATTTTTATCTAAAAATCTCAAAGTACTTTTCACAAGTGAACTCATCATCCAGTCCCTTTAATATTCTGAATGAGGATTAATAAGACTCCTGTTCCACATACGGTAACATGGAGTTTCTGGAGTCCTTGGATGAAGTGAATGAGACATGACATAGCTGCCAGCAAGTTTGCAGATGAGCCAAGAATAGCAAACAGCATTTCTACTTTACTGTTTTAACCACCAGACACACAAATATTCATAGATATTAAATAATTAAAACAGCAGACTAAAACATGGTCTAGAAGGAAAAGTTCTTGACTCCAATTCTGCCAGTGTCTTGAACAAATGTCTTAATTTTGATGGTCTTGGTGGTCTCATTTCCCCATCTGGGGTGAATTGATTTCTAAGATTTCTAGGTATGACATTCTGATTCTCTGTGGACCTTGCTCTGGAAAAGGAGCCTTGCTTGAAAATAAGAGTGGTTCAAAATATTTGTGGAAATATTGTGGCAAGACATCCCTGTGTGTCTCTTCATTCTTCTCCTTAGCGATATTTACTGAATGCTGCCTCTTCCTCAATAGCCCTCAAAACTAGCTCTTGTTCCTTTTAAATTGCTATTTCCCTCACTCCTTTCCAACAAAGTCAGTTACAATAAAGTCAGTTATGATATTCTCTAGATCATTACATAATTAACCTCACTCTTTATCCTTTTCTCTGAGAATAAAGAACTTAGGTACACAAAAGCAGAGTAGTTAAGAATGCAGGTTCTGGAATCATACTTACTCGGAACAAATCACAGCTCTGCAATCTATTTGGTGTGTGACTTTGGACAAATTAATTAGTCCATCCAAGTTCCAGTTTCCTTGTCTCTGAAATGAAAAAGATGATATACTACTACTAATGAACAGTTTTGTAGGAAGTAAATGAATATAAAGAATTTAGCACAATACCTGATACACAGTAAATAGCCTTGTTTCTCCTTTTCTTTGGTCTTTTTTTTTTCCTTTGCTGAGGAAGATTCACTCTGAGCTAACATCCACTGCCAGCCCAGGAACCGAACCCAGTCCACTCAAGTGGAGTGCACCAAAGTTAACGACTAGGCCACCGGGGGCTGGCCCTGTCTTTCTCTTTTTGATAGATACCTACCCAGACTCCAGTCTATGCCATCCTTGTGTCACAGGCTGGAAGCCTAGGAACTACATTTCCCAGAATCCATTGCCATCAGTCTTCTGGTTTAAATTTCCTTAATGAGATATATTTACATAAGATTTTGAAGGCAGAAAAGAAATAGAAATTAATATGACTCTCTCCCAGGGGCAGGAAAGTGCATGAACTTTGGTAGCAGACAAATATGAGGTTTTGCTGGTGGCTTTAATGAGTTCCCCTAAGAGTTACCATTTTGGTGCCATAGGCAGCTGAGATCATTGGCAGTGGTTTCCAGCAACTTCTATAATATCCAATTTCGTGAAAATAAACAGTAATCTCACTTAAATTTCATTTCTTTCATATCTTTCAATGGTTTTGTAAGCACCTAATTCCCTCAAGTAAATGCCTTCCAGCTTGAGTGGTCTCTGTTTTCTTGTATAGCCCCTGGCTGATATATTTTCATTCTTCTCCTCCTGCTCATTGAATTGTACCACAGATTACAGAATAAGAAAGGAAGAATGGAAAATAATAGTAATAGTAATAGCTGTTAATATTTAGGTCTTTACCCAAATGACATCATTTTAGTGAGGGCTTCCTAACTACTCTAGCTAAAATTTTGACCCTGCTCTTTGAAAATCTCCGTGGCATTTTTTCACTATTTTAAAATAATAGTAATTTTACTTGTTTATTTTGTTTATTGTTCCTTCTGGAAAATTATGAAGTGTTTTTGACCACTTACTTTGCTTTTGAATCTTCAGCTCTTTAAAAAGTATGTGGCATGTAGTACGTGCTCAATAAACATTTGTTGCCTTAGCAAATGAATTTGTACTTATGATGTATCAGATTTAATTCTAAGTGCTTTATGTATATTATCTTATTTAATCCTTTAGAAAAAAACTCTATCCAATGGCTATTACTATTATGCCTAATTTATAAAAGCAAAGATTCAGGCACAAAAGTGGTGGAACACAACTTTGAACTTAGACCAACTCCCAAACTTATGCTGTTAACCATGATACCACATTGAATATTTACTCTTTTTCTGCTGTTGAGCTAGGTACTTGATATTGTCTTGAAATCTACAAGGACACCATGTAGTATGTATGCTTATTCCATTTATAAAATGAGAAAATTAAGCCTTAGAGAAACTAAGCAATTTTTACAAGATGACATAGCAACTCAATGGCACAGCTCAAATCCTGTCTGCTACTAAAGCCCAGGACCATGCATTTTACCAAACTAGGAAACATTTTCAAACATCATCAGATGCTTTGCTCTTGAATTCAGATAAAACATACAAAGAAAAGTTATGTTATATATACTGCCCATGAGTAAAACCAGAGAAATAGGTTTAAATCTGCATATACTTTTATTAGAAGAGACGCATTTTAGTACAGGGGAGGTCTTCTTGTCAGATGTTAATATAATCTTGGCTATAGCATATTATTTTCATTAAGCAATAACTGTTTCCAGGGTGTGAGCCTATTTAGCTTATAATGGGACACAGTGTAAATATCCCAATTGCAAAGCTCAGCAAAAGCAAAACAGCTGTCTAATATGAGGCATTTTTATAGGATGAATGGACAGCTCAGATTGTTATGGAAAGGCTAATTTTATGAAACCACACTTGAAAAAGCAAGTTGGGCTCTGCCTATTTTCCTTTCTTTCGTTAGGCAAAAAAAGCATAAGATGTAGACAGTAACATCTCTTAGAATGTCTCTGGTTATGGATGTTTCTTTGGAAGAGACCCTGTCCTCTATTCAGTAATCATATAAACATAGGAGGGAGAGTTTAGCCAAAAAAGGGATAAGATGCTTGAAATAGATGCTGTCATTTCCAGTGGAGTGTGGGGGAGTCTTATTAGACAAAGCAGTCACTGCAGATGGATGTTCTTCATTGACTGCAGTCACCCATTTTCATACCAGAGGAGGCTGTGAGTTGGAAATGAGTTCCCCTTTCTCTCCACTGTTCCATCCTCTCCCAGATACCCAATATTTTCATACTCCAGTTCTTAGAATATGCTAACTTGAAACTTGTGGACAAGAAAATTATTTTTCTTCTTCATTAAATGTACATTTTCCTCATTCCTCTCTTTTGCAGCCCGAATCGAATGCAGTAGGCTTTTAGACCATCTCATGTGATGTTTACTCTGCATTCTGTCATCATCATGTTTTTAGCTTGACAATTATTTCATTGGTAGGGATAAAAGAACTTCAGTATATAAGAAAACATTTTTTTTTCTCTGTGTAATAATACTGTTGTTGAATGTGGTCATGTCTTTGAAGGTTTTTTTTTTTGGAGGAAGATTAGCCCTGAGCTAACTGCTGCTAATCCTCCTCTTTTTACTGAGGAAGTCTGGCCCTGAGCTAACATCCATGCCCATCTTCCTCTACTTTATATGTGGGACGCCTACCACAGCATGGCGTGCCAAGTGGCGCCATGTCCGCACCCAGGATCCGAACTGGTGAACCCTGGGCCGGCTAAGTGGAACTTGCACACTTAACCAACTGTGCCACTGGGCCGGCCCATTTGAGGGTTTTTATGTGATGGAAAATGGAAGTCATTAGGAACATGAAGTATAGTTTAGTATAGGATGTGTAGAAAGCATCCTAGACTGGGAATCAGGAGACTCGAATCCTGACCTTGGTCCTTCCACTAATTAAGAGTGTAACCTCAGATAATTCATTTAAGCTTTCTGTTCTTCAGAGTCTTCTTAAATAAAAGATAAGAGACTCTCAAGTCCTAAAAGTGTATTATTTTATCTCATTACAAAAGAAAAACAGCACATAGTCAAAGGAAAAAATTCAAGATTACAAATTAAAACGTTTATTTAAATCAGATTTTTACATAAATCACCAGAATAATTTGTTTTTTCATTCATGTCAGGCCAACGATGACCAAATGAAGTCAAGGATAGGACAGTTTATCTAACTTAGTAAATGTTAATAATGACATCTGAGCTTAATTATGAGGATAATTTTGTAAAATCAGATGAGTTTGGGGCTTTGTAGATTATTGTATTTTCATCTTATTTATGATTACAGACAGGCTTCATGGCCCACCTATTTACCTATGGTTATTGAGAACTAGGATCTTTATTTGTTCTTATAAAGGACTAGCCATCATAATGATGGGATAAAATCTAACAGAACAGGGCAAAGTGGTACATAAGATGTTCCCCCCGCCCAGAATCGAGTGTTAGTTAAGGCAAATTTGGGGGGTCCTGGGATTATATTAAGTTTTTTAAAGTTGGTAAAACCATTCAAATCAGTTATACTTCTAGGAGACAATGGTTTGGTAAACCTGACTCTATAATGGCCCTGAGAAGCAAAAGATACATGTATTCCTGACAAAGTGAGCATTGACTTCTCTGCTCCTTAACTGTTTCTGCTCCATCCAACAGGCATCATGGATTTGAGCTCAGAGAAATATTGCAAGGAATAGATGGCAATGAAAACAAGCACTGTATGTACTATGCTTTTTGTAAATTAGCCTTTTTGAATTTATCAAATAGTTTGGAACAAGTAGGTGGCATGTAATGCTAAAATGCCTTCTCGTGCTTTGGCATTCAGGACCTTCCACAGTTCCCAATTGGTGATAATCACAGGGTGTGTTTGCACAGTTTAGACTTTGGTAGAATACTTTCTTTGGAGGGAAACTTTGAGTGGTTTCCTAGGTTTGATTTTTGTTTTTTAATCACTAAAATATGTGATGCAAATTAACTTGCACTATTGTACTACAATTAAATGTGTACAGCTTGGCAATTATTTTCCTTCTCTTTGAAAAACGTTTCTGTTTGTTTACTCTTTCTCCGTAGCTCAGAAGAAAGCCAATCCACACCGGAGCACGGCTTTTTAAGACGGATATAATTTGGTGGTGAGATGCATTTAACATTATTCCCATGACCTTTCCCACTTTCACCTCCTCCCTTGTGCATTCATTTCATCATAGAGGTGGAAATGTAAAACAATACAGTCAGTGATGTGTTAGAGATCTCAAAGAAACCTGTACTAAGTACTCTTTTAAAATCGAAATTGGCAACCTGAAAATGTGCTGCCCTAAGGGTTGCTAAAAGTTTACCAACATCACACAATCATACAAAAATACTATAATCCTTGTAAAGGAGTGAATTACAATAATTTTTTAGGAATGTATTTTTAAATAATTGGAGAAAGCTTGTGATAAACTCAAAATGAATTCTAGAAATAATTATTTGAGTGATTCAAATAGCTCTATAACTTTATTTGCATTTATTTTATTTTATATTATCAGAATAGCTTTGGTTACACCAAAATATGCCTGAAGGCTAACTCAAAGAAATAACATCCAAGAGGTAGTAGGGAGTGTTCCTAGTCTTTGTAGTTTTATGGAGGAACACAACGGGAAGTGGGAGAGAATCTCCTGGTAGAGACTCTTCAGTGGGTTAACCATCATACTTCTGTTATTTTTAGTTCAAGTACTACCTTTAATTTTAATCCATACAACAGACTCACTTAACACCTATAACATCTGAATTCCTCATTGACGTGTAACCTGGGGCCGCCTTCTTTCTAGATTGAGGTCAACTGAAGGAGGGGGAATCTGTGCATGAACTTTGGAGAGGCCGTAATCTCTCTGAATAGTCTTTAAAATTTGAAACACATGAGCACTGTTCTGGGGTGACAGCCCAGGGTTTTACTAGTCCTCAAAAACATAACTTAGAAAAAGTTGAGAACTCTTGCTTGGGTAGATGGTTAACCACCTAGTACAGGGTTCCCAAATTTGATATATTGAATTTTCTTTGCTTCTCATCTCACAAGTCCTTTAGCATATATCTGGTAGAAGTACTTGCTGATTGACAAATGTGTACGGGAAGACAAAGAAGATCAACCCCAAAGAAGGAGGACATGTACACTGCAGTCGGCCCATGTCTGTGGCTTTTCCCTCTCTCTCCTTGTAGGAAACTCCCCAGGACACAAAGAAAGTAGAGACAGAGTCAGCTGTGTCCACAAAAGAACTCTCTCCTTCACATGCATCCACTAAAGCAGACTTTTAACAGCCTCTGACTAAAAGGAGAAAGCCAGTGCCAGAGCACGTCGTGCTCCTCCAGGCTATCACAATGTCAAGGGCTCCCACCTAATCAGTCAAGCCTGAACTTCAAAGCCATCCTAGAAATAACATGGCCTCAAATCTCACTCTTTCCAGGTAGCTTTCACCTTGATTTCTTGGAGGATAGTTTTCTTCCTCATGCACGAATGATTCTGACAGAATCGATTCTTCTAAACACATCATTTGACTTAGATGATCATCCAGGTCAGTTCCTATTATTGAACTGATGCTGTATATGTACATAACTTAAGATGTGTCAAACAGGGACACAAGACAATTGGTTCTTCAGGCCCACTCTACCAGACTTTGATCCAGCAAACCATTTACTGTGCTGGTCTTTCACATAAACATCTTGGTTTTGCCACAGCAAAATGTCTTTATTTGCCATTTTTCCTGTCATAAATGCTCTTCTGGGCTATCTCTGCCACTAAATAATAGACCTCAAATTTTATCTCTATGCCTTCTGGGTGGCAGTTTTACCACCGAGAAAAAGCAGGACAGAAATAGCAGAGTAATTTGTTCCAACATTGTTTTCAGCAACTTTTCCTTCAGATGAAATCTTACATGGAGGCCCAATAAAAAGAGTTGAATAAAGTTTTTAAGTCACTTTGTTTTAAGGATACAGTGGCTCCCTAGTAGGTGGGAGTGAGGAGCTGAAACTAGGGCTCTGGAGAGCCCAGCTAGAAGAAACACTAGTAGAGACATTCTCTAAGGTTTTGATTATAATATCTGAAATTATTTTTACATACTTCAGCAGATACTATGTGGGAAAACTTTTGTATTATTTAGTTTAGCCTGTAATCCAGATGCTTCTAGACCTGATGAAGAATGCACAATCCAGAGATCATCCATGAATGTGCTAATCAGAAATTCACAGTCCCGAACTGGATCCTGGCCCTCAGGAAGCCTATTCTCCAGATGTGGCAATTTCCGTTGTTTTGTGGCTTGCATCTGGATGGATCACTGTTACTTTGATATTTAATATACTGGATGTCAGAAATGGGGCTTTTATTGGTTAAAATAGTAGATCGTTGACAAGGATGGTTCATGTTAAAAATGGCTCCTTATTAGGGAAATTAAAAATATTTAATGTAGATATATTGGTTAAAATGTTTAGAAGATAACTTCCCATACATGCATGAACAATAAGAATGCAGGGAGGGTTTATGGCCTACGCCCTTGTAAAAGATGCCCTAATCTAAATCCCCAAAGATTCCTGTGTCCAGCCTTGAGTTCTGGAGGATTCTGGTTGTTTGATTTAGCTGTAATCATGGCAGAATCCTGGCTCTGCAATTGTTGTTGTGTCTGCTTCTAGAATATTGCTGTGTCTGCTTCAAGTGAACTTTTCTTGTAATTTGTGAAAACAATATCTAAAAGGACAGTGAGCTGAGACTTCACTGAGCTAACAGAACAGGTTGTCTGAACAGTTTTTGTTTTTGCTTTCTAAGCATTGTTTTGTTTGTGTTTTGTTTGTGTGTGTGGAAAAATTTAGAATGAGACCTCGTTTCATTATAACTGGGAGCAACGCTGTATTACAGGTGGAGTAGCTAGCTCGGACTCACCTCAGAGTTCATTGTTGGTCACTGGGAGAGGCCAAATAGTTATTCACAACCAAGTTGGCTGAAGTCCATTTTGCATTCTATCTCACCACTCAAAACTTCTTTGATTTGAAGAATAAGAGTACAGTGGGCATAATATTTGTATACCCCTTTGACCCTAATTTAATCATTCATGTCTGTGATTTTTCCTGAAATAACTTGTTTCGGTTCCCAGAGAACTTCCAGAATCAGCTGACAGCTACTTTTCAGAATTTTTTTTTTGTAGTTTTATTAAGAAATAATTGACATACATCACTGTATAAGTTTAAGGCATACGGCGTGATGGTTTGATTTACATATATTGTTAAATGATTACCACAATAGGTTCAGCTAACATTCATCATCTTATATAGACACAATACAAAGAAAAGAAAGAAGAAAAGAAAAAAGAGAAAAAATTTTCTCCTTTTGATAGGAACTCTTAGGATTTACTATCTTCATAACTTTCCTATATATTCTACAGCATTGCTGGCTATAGTCATCGTGTTGTACATTACACCCCTATGACTTATTTAACTTATCCCTGGAAGTTTGTACCTTTTGATCGCCTTCCTCCAGTTCCTCCTCTCCCTACCTTCTGCCTCTGGTAATAAGAAGTCTGATCTCTTTTCCTGTTTTTTTTTTTTTTTTAGATTACACATATAAGTAAGATCATACAGTATTTGTTTTTCTCTGACAGCTGCTTTTGAAGTATTTGCTAGATGTTATTTACTCTAGAAGAACAATATGTGATCGCTTTCCTTAATAACTTTAATATTTTATTTGTGAGATAAGATATTTATGCAGGAAATTACTTATAAAATATAAAAAGGTATATAATGAATAAAAAAATAAGTGATAAGAAAATAAATGCCATAATGATTGAAAGAAAGAGATAAATCTGTGACTATTATGACCAAGGAAGATAGAAGGGTTGAAGCAAGTCCGTATATGCTTAAGATTTAGACAATGCTTAACACAGGCAGGAAATCGCTCTAACCATCCTTTGGGAACAAAGATGGGTTAGGTCGAGCTTAGGAAGTATACTGAAATGCAGGCTGAAGAGCTCAGATTCTAAAGTATTTTTGGTGTATATCTCTCTGATAAATCTCTTTCATTCTGGTTGGGATGTAACCTAAAGCTTTTTGAAAGGGTAGCAACCCAGCCTGAGTAAAATGTTACTGGACGGATGTTATGCTTTTATGAGATTTATTAGATGGGGAAGATGAGCCTTCACACTACAAAAGCTGGCAGGAAGTCAGCCTCCTTCTCCCCCTTCTCAGGTACCTGCTAGAAAATAACTTTTTGTCATTTTCCCAGAACAAGGTATAGGGTAGAAGTTTGAAATTAACCTGGCCAGTGTTTTCCCAAGATAGGAAAGCAGCATTGAAGTTAATGAAGGGTCAGAGGGTAGAACTCAAAAGCATCCTCCCCCAAAAGACATTGAAATTTCAAATGTTTGCGATACTTGCCTCTTTCTCCTCCCTGTAACCTATCTCCTTCTTCTGTCTCTCCCTCATCTCTGTCTTCCTATCTCCTTAATCAGAACAGTCTGATTCTACCTAAGTAGATGGGACAGGGTTGTAAATTCTTCAATATTGCAATCAAACAGGGACATCTTTATTTTTCTATGACTAATTTGATCTCCATGAGCTCACATCTTATTAGGTAGATGATTTGGAAAGAGAAATTTGTTCCAGGATTTATTCCAGCTAGGTATTCTCACTCTGATTTAAAAACATAAGCTATTTTTCTGCTAGGATGACTTAGGTAATACAGAATATATCAGAGTTCTGTTGCTTCCTCTCTTCCAAAAAAAACCAATTAAGATTATGGGAGGAGGGTAATTTAGAAGGCATCACAGCAATTAACACAGAACTGGGAAGCAGATGCTGAAACAAAGTAAAAGATCACCGGGTTTATTTCAAGGCAAGACCTGTGAAGACTAAAAGGGGGAGGAAGCAGAATTAAACAGGGAAAGCCTTTCAGAGGGAAGGTATGGTACCTGTGAAAGGAAGGATGGAAGGAAGCAGGACTGGGCAGGAAGACTATGATGCAGATCTGACAGAGGCTCTGTCAAGCCAGCAGCAAGCTCTCAAGGAAAGATTGATTGTTAGAGGGGTCTCATGTTGGGCAGAAATAACCAGGCCCTAGTACCCCTGCTATATTCAATCATTGCAAGGGGCTTCCCAGGAACAGGGTGCTCTTGTC